TGGTGATATCTACAGAGCGAGATGAATTAATGGGAAAGTTTGGCTACACTCAAAGTAGCAAACAGCCCAGGGTCTGAGCCCATTTTCTGGCTCTAAATCCAGCCGGGGTGGTCTGGCCACAACTGTAATATTAAATCCTTTTAGCCTCCACAATGGGGTGGCTGCCTCCGAGCTGCCCACGGGAACAGGTTCGGGACTCTTCTCATTTCCAAACCACAGCTGGGACCTGTTTGTCATCGTGCTGGCCAACCCTGCTCAAAACCAACCTCGCTGACAGTTTAACAGTGCCGGTATATAACTGCCCAGGCTCCACCACCATGTAATTTATTGGTGAAGATACTACTTTCTGGCCATTTTAGGTCAGATTGATGGGTCTGCAAACTTTTTTTTGTTCAGAGGTCTGAACCCAGCGTGTCCCTCATCTATCTCAGCTTGTCACAGTAAACATAAAGACAGCAAAACCCATCCTGCACGCTGCATGGGAAGGAAGAGTTTGGCCATGGTGGCACAAGGGCAGTATCTCCAGGTGGAAACTATCTGCAATGAGTGTGAGCCTGGGGCTGGAAAAGGTAACTTTGGTGATTTGTCCTGCTATTTTGATTCGGTTTTAATTTTCTCCTTTGTCATAGGAGCATTTGTCAAACACAGTTACAAAGGACAGGCTCTTCCACAGCCAGCCCTGAACGTGTTCATGTTACACTTGCAGGGCAGGTCCTCCAGCATCTAAAGACCTCGATCCCACAAGTGTCTCTCAAAGGTGAAGCAAAAATTAAGGGACTAGCAGAAGGGTGAGGAGGTCCAGGAAAAGTGTAGGGGAAGAAGTTTCTCCAACTCCCTTCTCAGTGTTCTCAACAAAATGAAATTCAAGCTCAAACCCTGCAATCACAGAGCAGGTAGAGGTCAGGGTGAGGCAGACCATGGCAGGGTTAAACCAGGACTGGAGTGTAACGAGGCTGTGATATGGTTATGTTTATGGGACAGTTAAATCATCTTTTAAATCACCTCACCAAAGGCAGACTATCAGATCAGACGTGTCCGTACCTGAACCACTTCACCTAAGTTCACTTTAGAGCCCGTGGAGACAAACAGGCTCTTCCAAGGCACTGCCAGGGACCAGTGCAGCTCACCTGCAGACTGGTCAAGTCCTGCAAATGCCAGTTTGTCCCCACTGCCTCAAAAGGTGTTTCTGATGTCCACCCTGGGGACATCTATACCCACACCTCCTTCATCTGCTGCTGAGCAGCCCTCTTCTGACTGCAGGAACAACCCGACCTGTACTCCCTGCTCTGAACCTTCCATGTGCTGAGGACTGGCTGGATCAGTCCCAAAGCTTTATGTAAAAAGGCTGTGATGTGTATTTATATGAATCATATACATTAATTACATAATAGACACTCATGCTCCCCATCCCACATGCACTTTGGTTATGCATAGGACACAAAGACTGAGTGCATTCGCTATGAATCACGCAATAAGACTAAGTCCCTCAGGCAAAACTCTCTCTAAAATGACCATGGTTCATATATTCCCATGGTTTCCACTACAATATTATTTAATTAAGAATATTAATCTGCTAGGCCACCAACTTTCACTGTCTTCTGGGGAAGTCTGAGCAGACAGATATTTTAATACAATATGGGGAATCCTCCTCTTTTTATGACTGAGTTGGTGCAATAAGGTAAGGCTATTGCATGGCCTCGTGAGCTTATTTTTTATTTATTGTTGATATGAACATGAGACTTATGCACCAGAGAGACCATCAGTTCAAAAGTTGCATAAGTGATGCTAGATAATCTTTTTTTTGCTTTGCTTTTCAGCTATTGCTGTCGAATACTGCCCAAATATGGGTGACATCATTAATTACTTGTACGGCACCGCACATACAGCACCGGTCCCCATTTGGAGAATAAAAGATGAACACCTGAAGTTTGACAGCCGTGAGCACTCATTTGCACGTGCCTCCAGCATGGATGCAAACATTTCAGTTGTGCAAAGGAATCAGTCTAGACACTGGCAGGACCAGTTCAGCCACGTTACACCAGCCTGCCCGGATAACCCCTCAGGGTTGCAGCCTGCTGCCCTTTTCCCCTCTCCCGTGGGACGGAGATCTCCATGAGAACTCCCAGGACAGGCTGGATAGGGCTTTGAGCAACCTGGTCTAGTGGAAGCTGAGCTTGGCCATGGCAGGGGGTTTGGAACTAGATGATTTCTTCCAACCCTAACCACTCTATGAACTGTTATGGTAGTCCCTCCTCACCTCCTGTCCTACAGCCCCAAACCTCTTCTAACAATCAGCCTACTCTGGGATGGAAACACAAATGTCCTCATCACCAAAAGATGTACCCATTCCAGGAACTCGAGGGAACACCACTGTTTTGGCCATGGGATGGATATGTTTCTGGTCAAGGGAGTACCATCAAAAATATCTCTTGAGGGCTGCAACTGACAATACAACCAGGAACCATGCTTTTGAAGGACATGTTACTTCATTAGATGGTATATTCTCAACAGCTGGGTGAGCATAATTTAAGCAGTTGACTAGGCAGAGCCATGGAGGTCTGTGGAAAGACTGAGTGATGTGAAATTGTGGCAGGTAGGAAGTCCTGTGCCTGTAGGTGTGACATCCAAGGCCTAAGGGGGCAGTTTTACCCATTTTTCCTCCTGCATGATGTTAAGCAACAGGCAGTAAATATGGCATTCATTAAAATTACCTTGTATACTTTTAACAGCCTTGATAATCAGATTTCTGCCACTGTATCAGACAGCAAAGTTTGTTTTTATTCAAGGCCTTGTAAAACTCTAATTTCTCCCTCATGCACTGGAGGTGCCTGGAGTTTTCTAATGTTTTTAGTCTTTTTTAGCAGTCATTTTTTTCCCCCCATCAAAGCTGTGCTCTCCTCTGAAAGATGCCTCATGTAACTGAGCGGAGACTCGCGTTCCTCCGTGTGCGAGGGATAAACTGGTTGCTGTAAGGGGGTGGCTTAAAACTTGCATTTCTCTCTCTACTTTAGAGACAAAAGGGGTCGGATCCTGCCTTCCCTCCCTGTGGCACTGCTCTGTGGAAACCCTTGAGAGGAACCGCGGGGTTTGCAGCTGGGGCTGCAACGCGCCTCTTTGAGGCACCAGAGCTTGTCCTCCACCCAGGAACGCCGCTCTGCATTTCTGAACGTCAGCAAACACTGCAGACAACCTCTGGCACTTGTGGAAGATCAAAGTCCCCGTTTTTCAATCTTGAATCTTAACTGCAAGCAAGATTCCCCACGCTGGGAAAAGGTAAGCGCATCGCGGAGGCGTCAGTCGGGCCCCCCAAAAGATGAAGGGCAAGAAGCGTGGAGGCAACCGACTGTAGACGACAGCAGAAAAGTTCAGGCCGCGGCCACACAACGTACACAGCCAGGTCTTTTAGTCATTCTGCCTGTGCCCACATGCCAGGCGCTCACGTCTGAATACACACACAGACAAGCAAGGGCTGCAGGGCAAGTACGCGGCAGTACAGCTGCTGCGGTCCCAGCCCAGCCTCTCCTGGAGGTATCGCCGGGGGCACAATTGCAAAAAATAACCCATTCGACAGCACAGACCATCAGGAGGCTCCCCACTTCAAGGGAACCTGTTTCAGGCCAAACGAAGCGTTTCCTCAGCGTCAAGCCCGTCAAGCTTTTTTGACCCAAGTCAGCGCATCGCACCGAGAGAGCCCGCAGGAACCTGCTCCACCACCCTCCAGCCCTCAGCCCACAGGGAGACGTTTGGCATCTCTGAGAAGGCAGAGCGCGCTAGGACCGCAGAGGGTTTGGGTTTTTTTTTTTTTGCAGCTGTTTGTTTGAGAAACAAAGCTTCCCTCCTCCAAGATGAAAGAAATCAAGGAGTCTACGCTAATCAAATCCTCCACGCCTGCTGGCTGCAGTTCAGCTTGTCAGCCATGCAGCTCGGTGGAGGGATCAGCGTTTCCAGCCCTGTGAGCTCCCTGGAAAGGGGAGAACCACGACAGCGAGAAATCCACCTGGCTGCGAGTCAAACAGGTGGATGGCAACAGCATCCAAGATTATAATAATATCTTGCAAACATGCAAAAAAAAATCGATGTAATAAGACCGATCCTTTGGTTTTCATTAATGAATCATAAAGGCTTTCTTTACATTACACATGCTTTTTTGGCATACGCCGCTAATATTTCCACACTTGCAAGGTTGGAGTTTTAATACTGAGCCTCCCTCCCCTAAGGTTCCTCATTTTTGGCAAGATATACAAGGTGACTGTGTGCCACGACAGGCTCTATCTTACTTTGGGGCAATCAGATTACTTCACACAGATGGTTTTATCGCTGAGACCATTAGAGATTAATTGCACAGTATGTAAAAGTACATTTGTTTGATACAAAATAAAAAGTCTCAATTCCTCGCTGCTGTCTTGTCTATGTTCCTAAACATATTTCCTCTCTCCTGCATCATTCCAAAGCACAATTTGTCCAATCTTTACCCTAAAGTGACTCAGCTAGTTTCTGATAGGCATCTTAAGTACACATTAACTAAGGAAATAAGCTTTCTTGAGCTACTGGATTGAAATGCAGGAGAATGAACTTTAACCTTAACTATTGAAGAAATAAGGCATCTATCTGTCAGGACACCTAACATCACACACAGCACCAAAAATAAAGCACCATACAAATAGAGAATATCACAATTACTTTAAAACATGCAAGTAAGCATCCTCTTGTAGGGGCAAAAAAAAAAAAAAAAAAAAGAGATAATTTGCTCATAGAATCAGGTTCACAATTCAAAAATAGTCTGACCTAGAGACATTCAAATGATACATGCTCAGAGCAACACAACAGCTCTTCCACTTCGGAAAAAAAGGGATTATGACCCCCCACCCGCCATGCACTAACCCTGTTATCACCAACTGAGCTTTGCTCTTCTCATTAAGGTTTGTCTGAGGCCACAGAGGCAGCCTCTGCCGGTCCTGTTCCAATCTGCATAATTGTTTTAGGCAAAACACGGTCTTTACCTGAGAGGCGTCTGGGCACATCGGTGATGGCTGGAAGCCCTGTGCCTCGAGTGGAGGACAGGGGAGTTGTGGAGTGAATGGACGGTGAAGTCATCTGGCTCAAGTAGGATGGGTAAGACTGGTCATAGGACCACGGTGGGGATGACTGCGCCTGCCTGGGGTCTAGGAAGAAAAAACAACAAAAAAGAGAAAACTGTTTTAAAAGGCAGAAAAATTTTAGGGCATCAACAGCCTAATTGAAAGAGGTGGGCTGACTGAACATACACACACCAGTGCTATAAGGAATGAGTAATGAAACACAACCTGCTCCTCCAGGACTCAACCCCTTCACGTCTCGCTCTGTGATTTTTCCCTCCCCAGAACAAGCTTTTGGGGAAATGAATGGAGCAGCAAGCTGAGTTTTAAAGGATCTAGCAGCTGTGCTGCGAATTCCTGGTGTCTCTCATCCGGGTTTAACAGTGTGGTATAACAAGGCTCACCAGTCCTTGAGGACTTGGACAGATAAGCAGAGGGCGAGGACCAAGACCCGGGTCTGAGCTCAGGGAGCGGACGTCAGAGGTGGTGAAACTCTACAGGCAGCACTTGGCACGCCTGGCAAGTTGTTATCCAGTTCAAACATTACACAGTAGTGTTTTCAGTGCTGAAAATACTATCCAAGAAGGAAAATGTCATTAATCTTATCAGCATCCGTCCAAAAATGTCACATTTGGATGCCGGCCCAATTAGCTACAGTCACCTCAATTACAACAATATGAAACCAAATGCTTTGGGATAACTATCGGAAGCTAACGATGCCTTTTGATGTACTTGCTACAGCTCACTATGGAGGAAATGGCTTTAAGGATAAATACAGTTTATTTTTTCCTGAAGCACCAGTGGATTGCACTGAGAGACAGCCCTAGTTCTACTCACTGGTGTTTGGGTTTATAAACCATTTGCTCTCAGTTAATATCTGGTGACAAAGACGCCACCGAATGTCTCATAAATTATTATTTTTATTTCTTTACATCGATAAAACCAAAGCACTTTAAAGCAGCCCAAAGTTTGTTTTGGGCACTGCAAAATAAACAGAAAACTGTCTCTGAACCGGCTCATAGAAATTGTTGCACATCCCTCCAAATTCTCCCCAATATTTTTGGTGAAGCACATCAGGTCCACTCAGTCTGGAGAACCCACTATATCACAGCACAGTGTTAGGGCCCTGCTTTGTAGACAGCAATGTGACAGCCACATGGCATAAGCAAAGGCACTTTTTCAGGAAATTCAACTTTTTTTTTTTTTTTAAACTTTTTTTTTTAACTCTCCCTGCTCGTCCACACAGCAAAACCTTGTCGTTTCAGCTATTCCATGTTTATTTTTTCTGTTCAGACATGATTTGTTTGAAGAGATGTCTGGAAAGCAGATACTTCCTTGAAGCAAAATAACTATATAGATATATAAAAAAAAACCCCTCAACTTTCCAATTTAATTTTAAGAGGATTTTCCTGGAGTTTGCCACTTATATTAGAGCTGAGTAATATAAATGGTTAACATAAACTCCTCAGAAATCCGAAGGACACTTGATCATTAAATGTAATGAATTTCTTTGTTTTAACAATTTCAAGGCTAGGGTTGTATAGATTGGCGCTGGTTCAAATCTGACTGACTGCTCGTTGTTATATCTGATATCGACATATTTCTCTGCCTCATTCCACTACTATAATTCACCATTCAGTCAATGGTAAATGATCTTCAACTGGGAACGGAAAGCCTAGGCTTGCTGGGAAAACAATCTTAAAATTAATGATGTGTCAGGAGCACAATCTCAAATCCATGCTCCTTCATACTCCAAGAGCTTTTCAATCTCTGCTTCCGAATCCAAAACAGAGTCCCTTAAAGTTTTGGTTTTAGGTCAGCTCAGCGCTGGGAAGAAATTATATAGCAGGTAAAAGCTAGGAAAAAGTCACGGCAGAGGATGTTTTTCACTGGGTTTTGGTCTAAGATGGTGAAAACCTCAGGAAAGGAGCTGCCTTCTGGAGGTTCATGCCACTTCTGGTAGTGCAATCCTCATAGCATGAGAAGATCTTGAGTACCTCTGGCACCCTCACCACTTTGAACACCCATGGGGGACACCTATCACCCTTAATCCAACAACTGTGAATGTCTGTGTAGACACAAGAAGGACGAATGGCAAAAAGTGGTATTTCAAAGGCTCGTGTGGTCTTTCAGAACAATATCTCATAACTGTGCTCTCAGAGGCAGAATAGGGGGTTGGATGGACCATTAGTTGACCCAAAAACAAATCATAAATTCTTAACGACATCTAGCTTAAGTTTATACACGGCTTCTATGGCTCATTCCAACCTCAGAGCTGCATTACCACATTTCTTTTTTAGATATACACATTTGATTTCTGCTCTCCATGAGACCAATACTGTGAGATATTTAAACTGAAAAATATTTTAGAGAAAGAGAAAAAAGAGGATGGACTGTTAGTAAAGACACTGTGCTGGGACTTAACCGCTTCTGGCCCTGAAGCAGATCTCCTGTTAGACCTGGGTAACTCACCCAACCTCCATTTGACACAAATTCTACCTAAATTTAAGGACAATAATGATATACTTCATATTTAGTTGGTGTATGTTAAGGTGCAGGCACTCTCTAAATGCCTTAAAAAACAGGCTGCTTTTCTTGGCTGGCTGCTTTCCACCCAGATACTTAGATGCAAATTTCAGCCCCTCTGAAACCAGAATGCAATCAACTCAGCTCTGGGGAAATGAGATCGTGTCTTCTCAGGGAATAGGAAACAATAAAGAGGAAAATCAAACATCAGATGATGCCTCAGAGCTCAGTGACTGAGAAGAAGGTCACAATACCCCAGGCTGGAGGGTTACTGTGATTCCTCCACACTGAGGCATGGCTGAGGTCATGGTTGAGGGAATTTTGCCCCAGGGCTGACTGGCTTCAAGAGTTACCTTTGGCCCGTTAGGAAACCGGAAAGTGAAGATACAAGTTTCACTAGATCCTACAGTAAATGCCCTACAACCAGTGCCTGCTGACTGATAGAGGCCAAGGTTCGCATGGACATGAGAGGACAGAGCAGCTAGATGTCCTCACCTTGCCAAGTAAAAGGTGATCTGCTAGCCCACAGGGCGATTGTCACTGCTCAGTGGTGTTGCCCAATCCCCAGAGTAAAATGTTGTGAGGCAGACTCCAAAGCTGTCCTGTCTAGTCCTTGAAGGTGGACGTGCAGCTGGGTCTCATATGGCACCCTGTCTCATTGGCAGATGTTCCTTGCAATGCTGCTGGAGCAGAGACTTTGGCCACTGAGGCCCAACTAGCCCATCTCTTCTGGTCCCACATGGAGGGGGAAGAAGGGTGCTGGAGGTGGCAGCTGCCAGGACAGCACTTTCAGAGCAGATCCACACGGGTGTTTCTGAGGGTAATATAACGATGTTCTTAGGAGGGTCATCTCCTCCTCACTTGGGCACGGAAGAGATGGAGTGACTATTTGGTACCAGAGGGTAAGAAGCTACAAGCAGATTTATGAGAGATGTTCCTTGGCCTCCTACACCAGAGACCAGCTTCCCCATTCGCTCCAGCTGGTTGGCTCACGCGTGTCTGCCGGGTCCATCACCCGAAGCACCATGTGCTCTGCAGACACAGCACATCTTCCCAATCACAAAGAGCCCAGAATAGATGAGAAACCTTAGACCTCTGAGGCAGAGCAAGCGTGGATTCCTCCCTAAAGGAATCTCTCCAAAACAAGGGAAAAATCAAATACAGAAATACAGTAAAAAGCTTGGGATAAAGGCCCCCACCTTCCCGTAGGGCAGCCACGGGGAAGAGCTAGCAGAGCATTCAAGAACAGCAGAGGAGGCAGAGGGCCACTTTGAGTTGGCATTTGCACTTGAAAATTTTGGAGTGATTACTAAGAGCAGTCCTCCTTTTGTAAACATTTCTGTTATGCCTGCGTGGGCGTGAAGAAAAGAGCGGCTTTCAGCACATTCGCTCACAACAGGGCATATCATGGGTATGCTAAGAAAGCCCGGGCACGGCTCGGCTGAAACAAGTCAGTGGGGAGAGGTCTAAGCTAATGAACAAACAGCTCTGTCCTCCTTGCACTTCCAGGTAAACCTCGCCGAAGCAGGAAATACTGAGTATCGCAAATTATTTTGTGTCTGGGTTTTATTGCCACATTTACAGGCAGCGGGAGATACACTTGGTTCTTGACCCTTGTGGTCTGTGGTTGACTGCATGAATGGACAATGGACACTGATGCTTAAGGGACAATAAGCGGTTTTGAAAATCAGTCCAAGACTGGATGCACTGCATAGAACTGGAAAAAAAAAAAAAGAAAGAATGAAAAAAAAAACAACCCAGTGACCTGTTCTCCCACTGATAACATTGGTTCTCCAGCAACGTGACTTCTCTTCCTTCAATGGAAATGTTCTGAAGTGTCAATGAAGAAAAAAATTAGAAAAAAAACTGTAAATAGCCCCAAAGGATGAGCTTTTCCACTGTTTTTGCACTGGATTACGAAGCACACAGGTTTATGATAGAAAAAAAAAAGCAATTTCCTATGTCCCAAGCAGAGTTACATGACCAGAGCATGACCACAGGCTCCCAGCTCCTCAGCACACCATCTGTAACACCCCAACATCGCACACGTGCACACACTTTGCAAACCCTCTCTTGTTTAAACCCAGCCATCAGCCCCAGCACTGGCTGCTGCTGCTGGTACCAGTGCTGCTGCCAAGACTAAAAACCAAGCTGTCTGGAGCTATCTTTGGTAAACACTTAGAGCAAATGTCCTCACTTCTGATCTTAACAAAGCCAAGATGACTTTCTGCATGAGTAACCCAACTATTGTCGTAACCCCCCCCGCCCCCCAGCAAAACAACAACAAAAACGCAACCTCTTTCTCATCTCTGACTATTTCTTAGGCATCTTTAAAAGCCCAGGGCTTGATCCGAATTGCCCAGTTCAATCAATGAAGTCAAATCCAATGGAGTTACACCCCAATATACAGAAGCCTAATTGAGACCAGATTTTGGCCTGAAGAACCTCTAAAACCATTTCTCCTCCCACTCCCGCAAGAGTCACATTTCTCAAAGAAAAAAAAAAAAAATAAACTCAACAAGTTTAGTTGCCAGCAGGGCAACTAAATTGTAAAGAAGGGGGAAAAATAAAGTTAAAAGAATACTTTAATAGGAGGGACACAAGCTTTACCAAATGGAGGTTCACGGTGGCAACTCGCCAGTCGCCCGAAGGATGCAATCAGTTTGTACAAAAGCCAGCAGACTGCAGCCACCCTTGTGTTCATGGCAGCAGAAATCCCAGCTCCACCACCTCATCCACTCAGTCTTGGAGCTTTTATTCCATGTTACAGCGAGTTGAAGTCAAAACTCACCCTATTAACTTGGGCTGTTTCTAAATTATCTGCTCCAGGCAACCACACGCTTTGTCTGATGGGCTCTCAGATCGATGTGCACCGGCTACAAACTGGTGTGTCCTTCAGAGTGCTGCTGGTCCCAGGTAAAATACAGCCAACCCCTGGCAGGGCACTTGCACAGAGCCCATCTAAAAACATCTACACCGTTTCGGTTTCAAACCTGTCCTGCAGCGTCTCAGAGAACAGATACTGGTCCAGAGCCAGGACAACGCTGTGATGAGCAGGGCTTTCTGCACTCTCCCTGACTCTGCAAAAGGGCAGTGTCCACCCCATTGCCTGCAAGTCCTGAACAAGGGCAATTAAGGAAGGCACAGCTGGTACCATCCTCATCTTCCATCTGAGAGTCAAAGGTGCTTTCTGCGCATGGTCTTTGCAGCAGACTCAGTTTACATTGTCCATGAAATCAGTCATAGAATCCCAGAATGGTTTGGGTTGGAAGGGACCTTAAAGATCATCCAGTTCCAACCCCCCTGCCCTGGGCAGGGACACCTCCCACCAGACCAGGTTGCTCAAAGCCCCATCCAGTCTGGTCTTACACCTACAGTGAAGGGGCATCCACAACTTCTCTGGGCAACCTATGCCAGTGTCTCACCACCCTCACAGTAAAGAATTTCTTCCTAATGTCTTCTATAAATCTCCCCTCTTTCCATTTAAAACCATTACCCCTTGTCCTATCACTTCACTCCCTGACAAAGGGTCCCTTCACATCTCTCCTGTAGCCCCTTTAGGTACTGAAAAAAATCATCGAATCATAGAATCATTGAGGTTGGAAGAGACCCTTGGGATCATCGAGTCCAACCATCTCCCCTACTCTACAAAGTCCTCCCCTACACCATGTCCCTCAGTACTGCATCTAAACGTCCCTTAAACACATCCAGGGATGGTGACTCAACCACCTCCCTGGGCAGCCTGTTCCAATGCCCGACCAAATGATGAGGAACTGAAGCCTGGCATCCCTGAAGTGCACGTGGAGGGGAAGAGGAAGGACAAAAAAAAAAAAAAAAAGATTTCACGGGACCTGCTTTTGAGTGCTGTTATTTCAGTGATGAAAGTCACAGGTTGCCTATAGATCAGACGGTGCCACAGCGGTGATGGAGCATGAAACCTCACTTAACTCCCACTTCCCAGTCCCCCCAGCCCGGGCTCCTCGCACCCACCACATTCCTGCCATTGCACCCGTGGCTTTTCCCGGCCGAGAAAAGCTAATCCTCACCGGTTGCGTTTTAGAAAAACAACAGTTTTCCTCGTTTCCTACTGAAACGCTGATGCAACAGCCCTTGTGTCTGAACGGGAATGTAACCGGATACGCCAGCGAGTTGTGCGAGTGCTGCTAGGGAAAGGGGGAAAAAAAAAATAAAAAAGCAAATATACCAGTATCCAAATGTGAACAGACAGGATCCCTGATTTACGGGCAGCAAGCAGGGTTCAAATTGAATCTGCACTGCCTCAGCAAAGGCATCTGCTTATTGGACGATTTGTTTTTTAATGACCCCTCAATGTTGCTTTTGCAGAATCCTAGTTAAAATGCCATGTTGAATAAGGGCAACTCTGTGCCTTGCCCTGCCACAGCCTGCTCCTGTGCTGGGTTTAGGACTGTGCCGTGATTTGTAAAACCTGTACTTTGATACTCTAGGAAAACAAACACAACCAAGACAGAGAAAAGAAATATAAGAGTCAACCCCAAAGTGCTGAGTTCTCTCAGACTCAGGTGTGGGCCAGCCAGGCTTTAAATATTATTTCTGTTTAATCATGCAATAGCTATGCAAGACCTGAAGTGGAACGAAACAAAAACAGTTTATGTGCTTACCGGCAATAATGCGGATTTTGTCATAGGAAACCAGTATTTACTGTTAAAGTTATTAGGAATTAATTATTTTCTCTAAATTACTAGGCAAAAAGATTAAGAAATAAAGGTATTTTTAAAGGAATGCTTGGTTAATTCCAATAAAGGTAACAAAAAAAAAATCCTTGGTTTTCAAACAAGGGTCTATTCTCCTTTTAATACATACTCCAGCCACACCAGCCTGGGGACTCTGTTAAGAAGCCACTGGTATTCCCACTGAATAGTGCACCACAAGAAGGAAACTGGTGGAGATGGACAGCCCAAGCAGCTCACTCCCTACGACCACACCAAACAGGAGGACATTTAGCAATTTCCCATGGTCACCTCACACCCCATCAAAGAGCTGCCTCGTCTGCGGCATCACCTTTGTCTCTCCTGGGCAGGGTTTGTGTGGCAACCACCAGCCATTCATCCCAGAAGAACTCGGAGGGACTGTCCACAAAAAGCATCCCAGCACTTTGGTGGAACTTCAAAGTGCGTAGAGCTTTACAGATTACCATCAACGTCCTGAAGAGCACCACAAAGCCTTGAGGGGAAAGCAGCACGACTCATAGAGCTCTCACTGATGTAACATGCTCACTCTTAATCGCCTTATTAAATGGGAAGGCTACCGGAAAGCCATCAAGTAGCCTTTGAGGGCTGGGTATTTGACTTTTCTAAACTGAGGAGGAGAGAAGAGCGGGGAATAACATGGCAAATACTGTACCAGACCCCTTCTTCTCTTCAAACTTTTATAACCAGCCAAGTTCTTCACTGTTTTGGGGTAAATTAGAGCAACTTGGGATTCTAAAGCATCCCGCAACCATGAGTTTATCCGGCAAGAAAAACACATAACCCACAATAGATGGGAGAGTTCAGCCTCCCTTCCTCGGTTCAACTCACTTCCCTCTGCCCCACCAGCACCACACCTTCCCTCTCCCTACAAAGTCTCCGCTGGTACTTTGAACTGCTGACTCTTAAATTTGCAGAAAAGACAGAGAATGCCACACAAGCTTTGTTTCCAGTCAGGCTTATTTAAAGCTCATCTGAAGTTTTCACCTCCCGGATCTGTAAATGCTGCTGCTGATTCATAAGGAGGCAGCGAAGTACCCTATTAATCAAACCCAGCAGAACATTTTCTACAGGAGGCATTTATGTGAATGAGAGCAGCATATGAGGTTACACTTAGCTAGGAAGAAAATTACAAGGGGATCTCAGTTCTCGTGCTTCAGGGCATAAGCTGATCACCAGATGGGGTCAGGAAGAATTTCACCCTCCTTCGTTCCTAGATATAGTGTTGCACAATAGGTAAACTATGAAGGCACAAGGAAGAAAGAAAAAAGCTGAGTGTAGCCCCAGATTTTCCTCCTGCTTTCTGGGGAAGTACATCCCCAAACATCACTAGACAGAATGTTAGAAAATGTATGTTAGAAAAAAAATTGGGCTTTAGTTTGGCACTTCTTACCCAGAAAATGTTATGCACAAGAGCCCTGACTTCACATGTCCGGTGAACAAAACACTAATCCCAGCCAAAAACCCTGCTCTGGGAAGCTGGTGGGCAGAAGGTACCTTGTAATAGGTACTATAGACATATTTAGTATATTATAAACACTTTATGCTAGTTAAAAGCTAGATTTCTAGATTTGGAAGAACTTTGCCACAGCTCATGCAAACCATTTTTTCGTTTCAATTCTCTGAGTGCTTTGGGTTCAAATTAACCCACCTACTTCTCTTCCTCACTGCAAATTAATAAAGCAGTTGAACTCAAAAAAGAAGAAAAAGAAAGAAGAAGAAAGCCACAACACTTTGTTAAAACCACTAAGTTTCAGCTGGTATCATGTCAAAACCACTTGAAACATGAAACCAGAAATCTTCCTAGGTTGACTCAAAGACAATGTATGTACTAGGAGTGCTTTACCAGTAAAGGAATACTGGTATATAAGATTGGCACAGGTCTCCTGGTATAGATGCAACTATAGCAGCAAAACGGAGTTTTAAACTGGTCTAGTAAATTGAGCCAAGAGTTTTGTTGATGGACTTGCATCTAGGTGAAGTTCTTCAACACTGCTAGCAAGTGACTCGGTGAGGGGCAACACCTCTTCACATCCTGGATGGACACAAATACACCAGTTTTGAGTGTAGAAATGGCCAAAATTAGGTAGAGGTTGTTTTGACACTCTTGAAAAAATTCACCAGCTCTGAATTTAGAAAAATGACAAAATTGGTTTATTTTGTAGGCTTTGGGGGTTTTGTTTCAACCTTCTGGCATAGCTGCAGTTAAACATCTTGTTTGGGTCTTATAATCCATGACACATGGTACTTTATGATTTCTCTCAGCACAATGAAATCTGTCTCTCAGCATGCAATCATAAATGTTGCATACAACCCTCACAAGCAACCTTTGGAGATTTCTCCATAACCCGGTTCGTTTATTGTAACAAGTGGTCAGCACTGGTGCTAGAAGGAAATCTGCCATGTGAGAAGATTGTATTGTTATTCCTTTAATTATTAGACCTTTAAATGTTTGGCTGTTTCCCTCAACACCAGTGCAAAATAAGAACGCTGAATAAAAATGTTCATTCTAATATGTACTGTTGCACACACAGAGGACAAGGCAGAGCAACGTGGCAGTTAGAATTTCACCAGATTCCTACCCAAATTACCCAGATTGGCTATTTTGGACTATTTTGGATTTATGGCAAAACGATATTTAAAAAAAAAAAAAAAAAAAAGTAAGACATTTTCAGCTTCAAACACTATAGACAAATCCACTTCCCACCTAGCTTTGCCTGGAACACGTCTCTCGCTCTTTAATAGCCTCTTTCACTGCAGTTGAGACACAAATATCCATAATCAATTACTACCGTTGCCTGTGCAAGTCAAACCTATGGTTCTGTCTCTTACCTGTAATCTGACTCTGTCCTTGTGGATTAAAAGGACTTGGTGCAGAGTTCAGAGAGGGCCGTGGGCTCTGGGTCGGGACCCCTACTCTCATACTGGGATGAGGAATGCGCCCTAAATCACTGAGGCGTTCAGAGAACAAACTAGGTTTAGAGTCATCAAGCTTCTGTCTGTGCCCTGGAAACAGCAAATCATAAAATAAAAGCGTTAATAACAGGATTTAGTAATTTAACATACCCAAAAAAAAAAGAAAAAAAAAACCCAAAATGGCCTCTAAGGACCTGTTTTTAGATTTAACGGACTTACAGGTATCTCAGCTACCCCCGATAATACAGCGACATCGGTGGGATGATTTGTGTTTTGGGCATGGATGTGCTGGTGAAAGCCTGATCGAGCACAACTGTGCCCAGACAGATGTGTAACATGTTGCAATTACGATCAAAATAAGCACTTACGAGGACACCCACACAAGGATGTGCTGGTGAAAGCCTGATCGAGCACAACTGTGCCCAGACAGATGTGTAACATGTTGCAATTACGATCAAAATAAGCACTTATGAGGACACCCACACAAGGTCTTTTTTTTTCTTTTTTTTCTTTTTTTTTTGCTGCTTTAACTACACTAGGTAGTTAAAGGGGCAAACTTTCTTTTCCAAAAGGAAGCCTCATATGTAAGTACAAATTATCAAGCGGGACAATTATTCTATGCCTGGTTTATATGTTGTGGATTTTTGCTAAGAAAATGCAATCTTTTGTTCCCTTATATTTTTTTTTTTCTTTAAGTCTGTCACAGTTAGTCACTAGCTTTCATTCCTCTGGGAGACCTTCCAAAAAGTAAATAGTCACTGTCATTTGAGAAGAGCTGTATCACAAGGAACAACCTTCAAAGCTGCTGGCCAAGACTGGATCCTCCACTCTCCTGCATGGTCAGCCTTCCTCAATGCTTCTCTTTCTCTCCCCAAAACCAGGCTCACTGCCCTCGTGCCGCATGGCCACATTGGGAAAAGCAATTTATGGGGGCTCAGTTGTCAAAAAAAAATGTCAAAAAGCAACAGGATGCCCCAAATGGTACTGCTGACATTGTCATTGAGATGTTTCAAGAGTAAAGGCTTCACTTCTCTAACTGTTGTATTTTTGCTCCTAGGTTTAATTTCTTTCCACAGTAGTTACAGGACGCTCCTTGCCTTTGAACGTAAGGCAGAGAAGGCGTTATTTCTATCATTCAACATATGGAGAAACAGGCATGCATAGAGATTAGGGTCAGGACTAATTTTACTTAACTTCAGTCATTCATAAATCAGGCATCTAGTCTAAACTCTTCTAATGTAGACTTCCTCTACAGTTAATGGAAAGAAATAGCTACTTCCAGAGGGCAATTCATCTCATTTGTCTCTGACACCAGCCTTAAAACGGGATGATTCACCTTCTGAATTTGCTTTCTCTTCCTTCTCTGATCAGAGAGGGAGCACACATGACTGGTTTAATTAGACACTCTCACCATTAGTCAACATTAAATGGAATTAATCTTACCCTAAGTTACCGACCAAGGTCACACAAAAAGCCTCTGGCAGAGCTGAAATGGGGGCCCAAACCCTCTGACTGCAACCCAGAACCACGTCTGCCTCCATCCCTGTAAGCACTGGTGGGGCACAGGCACCAGCATTAACTGGGTAAGATATTTTTATGCTTTTAACAATAAGAAGGGTCCTTGGTAGGGTTTGGGTTTGAACCCTTCCAGATGATCCCCAGTGGCTTGAGATAATCTGTGTTGTCCCTCAGCAGTGCGACCACAGCCAATCTGCCTGCAGGCTACAAGGGTCCACCTTTGCAGACATGATCAGATTGTCCCATCGGTCTTAGGGCCAGAGAAACAATTCTGGCACTGCTTAATTTATTTTAAAAGTATAAATGAGGCCACGGAGTTGAGACTGAACTATCAGACTGCCACTCTTCGTAGTATGGCCTTTTAATGGTACCTCTCACCACAGTACTGAAGGATGTGGGTTCACATCACCTAACTGGGACCATGGTGCCTACATGACATATGGTGAAGCAACATCAATACTAGACAGCTAAATCCAAACTAGATTCAGAAAAATGACAGTTCTAGATAGAGAAGTGAAGGATTCAGACTGGGAGATGAGAAGAAACTGGAAGGAATTTAATTTTGGAGAAACTTCTCTAGCAATTTAAAAAAATTAATTAGTTGACCCATTATTTTGTACTTTGAAGTATGTTTTTCCTCCCCCAGGATGACTCAGTCTAAAAGGGCAGGGTAGGAGGGAGCCTTCTCCTTAAGGAGAAGGTGCTGCTCTCTGTTAGCGCTGACATGGGTGGCTACTCCTCTCTTCGGGAGGTATCAATCACTTCCAAGGGGGAAGGATTTTTGGTGGCCTTGTAACAACTCTGTAACGGCAGCTTAATGGGCAGGATAACATCTAACCTGGTCGTCTTTAGCATTATCTTTTCAATCTATGTAAATGACAACTTGTCCAAGCTGGGTGCTGCTAAATGTGAAGAAATTACTTTCATGGACACACGCAGTCAGTGTTCTCTTGGGATTTCTCCTTCTCCATCTTCTTTTCCTCCCCAATTTTTATGTACTCACTTTTCGCTTTACCAGCATCTCCTCCCCCTTCCCGTCTCACTTCTCCATGATCACATTTAGGCAAATTCAAGAGGGCTCAAAACAGGGCAAACATGATCAGCCTATCTCTGGCCTCACACGCCAAGGCTGACTTTATCTGGGAATGAATCCACTCCTAAAGTGAATTTTATTTTGAATTTTCAGAGGAAAATCCGGTGCTTCCTTTTGCTAAAGAATCACTAACAAACCGGTGGGGGGAGAGAGAAGGAAAAAAAAAAAGATGAAAGAATAGAGGGGACAAGAAGGAAATAAGAAGAAAGGTTCCCACATCTGGTTGAATTGAAATGATCTAGAGATGTGTGGGCTTGGGTGTTGCCACCTCCCTCACTCCCCGCCTCCCCCCCAAAAAATGTAGAGAAAAGAGAGCTCTGTGCACATCTGGAAGACCCCAGGCATCAATGGAACTGCAAGTCCCCAGAAAGCAGCAAGGGGCTGAAGGCAGACTTGCCTTCACCTTCTGGACATTTAAAATTTAGGGTTGTAACATGGAGTCATGTTGTGACAAAGAGATCTACAGAAGGAGCCACGCTCCCCCAGTGAAATGTCCCAGTGAGATGAGATTACATTACGGCTTCGCACGTTACGGGTGACCATGCTTTGATAAAAGCTAAACGTGCTCACATTGAAAGCAAGCAGGAAACTCAACAAAAACTCCATATTCAGGAGGTGTTCACAAAGAAGTGTAGGCAATTTAAATAAATCTCTTGCCCTGGTTCCTGTGCAGAAAATAAAATAAAATCCCATTAAGTACGGAGGAGCCATGAGGTATGAGCTGAAAGCACTCTAAAAAGGCCTTCTGAGTAGCACATAAGCAGCAGCAATGAAATATGTGATACATGTTTAAAACTCATTCCACAAGCTGCTTTTCATCTCTCATTGATATATGTGTCCGTTGACAGAGAAATTCCTGATCCCAGGGGAGCGTGCTAAGAAAAGCTGTATTCCTTGGTCTCAGTCATGAGGTGTAATTTTATTTCAGGAAAAAAGATTAGGGTAGCGAGTGTGGATAGCTCGGGGAGAATCTGTGATCTGCTGCGGCAGTCAGGACATTAAAAAGCAATATAAAGCTACATATAGAGTGGGATAAAATAATGTTGCAGCTATCCCAGTGCCTGCAACGCTGCATTTAGTGCTGGTTGCTCTGTTGCAAAGACAGTTTTGTGGAATGGATTGGGCTTGGAGGGGACACACAGGCGCTCTCGGGTAGGAAATGTAGCCCAAAAAGATTTAGACTGTCCCATGTGTTCCTGATTGTGTTACTGCATAAGGATGGGACCCAGCGGCCATTGGAATAGGTCAGGTCACAGGCACGAAGATGGGAAAGAGATGAGAAAAATGGAGAGTTAATAGGGAAAAGTTATACAAGCTGTTCTGATTCATCTGTTGTCACAGCACAAAACACAACAGATACTAGAAACCCATTATTTGCTCCAAAATGACAGGCAATATTCTGGTCTCTCACGGCTATTCAGCTCTTTCAAGCCAAACACCAACCTGAGTATTAGTTTCTGGAGCATTGCCATTAATCCACCCCAGGACCAGTTTGGGCCATTTCACACAAACTGAACCAGGAAATAGTACTGGGAGAGTGCAATAAAGCCAACACACACTGTAGCCAGCCAGGCGATGCTCACCAGCCCAGGAAGACCACAGAACATGTTAAAATGGCCCATAGAAATTAGTGTTGAATTCTCACATCCCAGGCACGGCAGAAGATGTGAGGAGGCTTCATCTCCAGCGTAATCATTTCAGTTTAAACTGAACGAAGGAATGTCTTCCAGATCAAAGCAAGGCAATCTCGAGCCTGCTGGATGTGGTAACTGGAAAGGGACGTGAGCTCGTCTCTCATCACTGAACTTCCACCGCTCCGCTGGAGAAGTCAAGATGTAAATCGGGCCATGGAAGAGGCTGACTTGCAGAATGTAAATGTGGTGTTGATGCTTGAAGATTTTTACCTCCTCGGGGAGGAGGGGTGTGTGTTTTTATCTTTCAGCTTGTGGGTGTGGAACTGAAAACTAATCAGATTATGCTACACGTGGCCGTGCCAGATGCTGACACTCAGGGACTCCCTTTCTTTGTACCGTGTACACCACCCACCAGTTTTTGTGTGTGTGTGTGTTTTTTTCTGGTACCAAGGAGATCTGGTTACCAGATTTTCAACAGATGCTTTTATCACTCTCAAGTGGGTTAGCTATTTTCAGTCATCGCCCAGTTCTTTTTTGATTCCTCCTCAACAATCAGAAGTACCGTGGGAGTCAGGTGTCTCCATAAAAGAGCTAAGGGAAGGCAGGAAGGTCATGAAAGTAAGAACCTGGGCTCTCACCTGCTGGGGACACATTTGCTGGGACATCCCAAACAGGATGGAGGGTGATGACCCAACATGAAATACCACCACGGTTTCTGTTTGCTCTATGCCCTGTGCTCAGCATCAGCTAGTAAAGTTTGGAGAGTCACTCCATGGAGTTTGGAGAGTCACTCCATGGAGTGACTACAGATGGGAAGGGAAAATAAATTAAAATAATTCTTTGAA